AAGTAAAATTTTGTCACCAGCATAGCACATTATAACTTACAATGTTTGAAGAAACCTTGGTGTGTCATGAGAATTTTATTCTCTCAGGTTTTTAATCTTGGGATATGCATTCTCCCCCTTTTAAGTACTAGAAAAATTTGCTTCATAGACATCCTACTTTGTACTGCCATTTTATCAACAAACTGTAAAAGTTTTTTTTTCAAATTCATTTTGATAGCCTTCCACTTCTATTAATTACATTCATACTTTTAAGGGTTTATGCTTTCGCCCACCCCCCACTTTGACGCATAATGCAATTTCACTTCCTCAGTCTCCTTTCTTTCCTTTCTTAATACACATAATCCAAAATATCAAACCACTAAAGAGTAAAACAATATGAAAACTTCAGTCCTGCTGCTGCCACCAATGTTACAAACTGCCTAACATGATCACAGAGGTCACTGGTGGCCTGCTCCACAGGAGTTTTGTTACTAATCCAAAGGTGTCACCTCTCTGTTAGTTTGAATTCACCAGCAGTTCCATAGGAGAAAGAATGGCAGTCTCCACTTGTGAGATTTACAGCCTCCAAAAACCTGCTGGAGGGTCAGTTATGAGTGAGTTCCTTCTTGATGGCAATGATTTTTAACCTAGTTAGTGGAAGAGTCAGAGGAGATTGCCTATCCTTCCACAGAGCAGCTGGTGGCCTCAAACCATGTGCCTTTGGGATGGCAGTGCAGCTTGCCACTAGGCCACCAGATATCACTTAACAGGGACTAACAATCCTATTTATAATTGTAAAACAATTAGAGTTTAAGTATGAACAATGACATTTTTAGCTCTCTATGCCTTTATTTGATTTAATTTCCAAAGCACTCTGAGAGTTAGTATTTTAATCCTGTTTTTGTTTTTGTTTTTCTTTTTTTTTAATATTTTTTTTATTGGGAAAAACATATTGGGGGTGTAAGGAGGTGAGGGTTGGGGGCAGAAGGGTGAGGATGGGCCAGGATGCAGTTGCAGAGCTGCACAGTTTGGTCAGTGGGGGGAGCAGGTGAAGGAAA